AAACCGCCCTTCTGAAGACATTGCGAGGAGAGTGGCTGACTCCGCCTGACTACGGCTACTCGATTGAACAGCAGGCCTCTAAAGGGGGAGTTTTCGCGGAAAAAAGGGCGGGTATTAGATTTCGCAATGTGTATGTATATGACAACCGCCTAATGAGTGTTTGGCAGGAGGGCAGCACGCCTAAATGGTGTTTTGAAGTGGAAACTGGCGCATACTCAGATTGTCAACAGGCGTGTTCTCGGTTTCATCAGAATGATTGTTAGGGTAGAGTAAAAACGAGATTAACGTAACTTGGAGGGATATTCTAGATTGCCGTAAACAAAAAGAGATTTGTGTTCTCGATATTTCGTGGCAGAGAATCGTTCATATTGGTATACCGCTAATAACGAAATTTAATTTCTGAACCGATGCGGCGCAAACTTTGCACAGATATTGCTTCAGGGGAAAAGGGTAAGATAGCCTAATTATTCTTCTAGGTACTTATTAGCTTCATTAGCTCATTAATTTCTGCATTTTTCATAGGCTGCTCAAAGTTTTGTTTGCTAAGACGCGCTAATTTTGATGACCATTAGAGGAATTATCTACCTTTCTATATATTTCTGCTTTCGCGTTTTAGGGAACTGGAAGTATGCAACATACATTCCTCCCGGGTAAAACGCCGCAAAACGAAGATTTGTGTGGGATCAACACGCAACTTCCATGGTGATTTTAAGCGAAGTTTGTTGTTAAGAAGGGCATTTGTTACGATGGGGCGTCCTTCAATCAACTTATGTTTGACAAATGACAAACTGAAGCTCTTGGTACATCTTTAGGGATGGGCAAACTTAACTTTTAACTGCTCTATTTGGTTTTACAGCTCTCAGAGCGCATATCATAAAGTCATTAAATAGAACATCTTCCAAGCCTCTATAAAACAGCCGTCTTTACCTGTGCTAAGCAAAGGAACATCACGGTGCGCGAAGACTCTGATTATCACTGAGCTTACAACCGTCAGGGAATGCGCCTACGCAGATAGTCAGTTTAAATCTTTTTCTTTTCATTTTCCTTACAAAGCTTTTCTAGCTTTTCGCGGTTTC